CCCCGAATCCATATGTGAAATCTACAAAAACTTCGAATCCATATGTGAAGTCTACGAATAGTCCGAATCCGTATGCGAAACCTACGAATAGTCCAAATTATCAAAATCTCCTTACAACGTACGGTGGAATGTCGACGGGATACGGTGGTGTTACTTTACCTTCTCACACAACTGTCAGTCCCTTGAATTTGAGTCCATCTCCTAGTTACAACTATTTAAATCTAAATGTAAACGCTCGCCCACATGTACAAAAGACCGAGAGTTTTAGTAGATCCAAAATAAAACCAAGTCTCAGTATTGGATCGAGAAGTTCCAGTCTGCAAAGTTTAACTAGTTCTGAGGGATATGCTGTAAGCAATTTTCTTGATTTTTATATCTAAAAAATCTGTATTAGAATTTTTATAAAATTTTCCTAGAACTTTGAAGCATTTTTATTCATCACTTTTTTTAATATTAAAATACATTTTTCACATTCTATATGTGAAAATAAATTATTATATAAATATAAATCTAGAATATAGAGACAACACTTTATAGATAAACATAGTTGTAAAATTAGTAGATACACATAGAGTAGATAACATAGAGTACATAATTTTTCTTTAAAATAAGAATAGAGATAAGAATTTTCGATATTTTAATAAAAATTAATGATATTTAATGTTATGTTTATTTTAGAGTGGAAACGATCGTTCTGGGAGGGCCAATAGATTAGGTTCGATATCCTCGTTATCATCAGAAGCGTCATCAACACCAAGCAGACTAAAGTCTAATAGTTCCGAAAACGGCGAATTAGATTATAAGAAATTATATGAAGAATCTCAGGCCGAAAACGAAAGGTTGAAGGAAAAACTGAAGCGCTCCGACGAACAATTAAAGGAAGTCAGAAGTTTACTAGAAAAAATGCAAATCAACCAAAATAAAGTAATTCTGTCTGAGGCAGAGAAAAGGGAAAGGCGAGCTATGGAAAGGAAACTCTCAGAAATGGAGGAAGAATTGAAGGTAAGTTCGCAGAATTTACATACTTCCTTCATTATGAATGTTCTTTATGTGAAAACGAATGAAAAAAAATGCTTTCATACATTGAATCAAATAATAAGGAGACACGGTTGTCTGTGATTTTATGTGTACGAGTATACGTATCAGTATATATTTGTATATTTATAATTTTATATTTTTTAGTTAGTTATCTCACATCATCTCTTTTTTGTGTTGCTGTGACTGCTAGTGGCAAGCAAAAACAGCAATGATTATTTTTGTACGAAGATCCGATCGCTTTTCCTTACCTGGCAATTTTACGACGCTTCACTCTCTTTTTTATTCTCTTATTCCGATTGGTACTCGTATCTTTTTTTTCACGGGAAACAATAATTTTTAGTAACCCGTTTATATTTTCCTTGAGTTTCCGCTTCTCAGAACTTCTAGCGTAGTTTAGCGGGGAATTGCACGTAGTTTTACTCGTCTATTAATGGTACGCGAATTAATTATTTGTTTTTGGCTATTTTGGGACTAGCAAAAACAGTGGCGGGGATTTTAGGCTAATCGTTTAACTGTTTACAGCAATTGCAAAAGCTCAAAGCTGAAAATGAGAGATTGAAAGCCGAAAATCGGGCACTTACCCGCGTCGTATCCAAACTCACCAATACTAAATAGGTAAAGGACACAATGACAGCATCTGCGTTAACGATAGACATCGTATCTCACGCAGCATTAATTAATTAATTACTCTCTTAATCGAATGATTAATTACAATTTTGTGTTTCGATCGCCAAATTAAAATAGAAACGATACTACTCATCATACTTATTGTATAATTCAGCTTTGTAAGGTCCAACATATAACGCGATCGTTTTCGCAATTTTCAATTAAAATTCATTTTTATAAAAAAGAGACCTCAAGCTTGCTATAATACATATACATACGTTTTATCCCAAGTATTGTAATCAACATTTATATGGTCGCGTATCTTCTTGGTGTGATACTAATAGCATTCTTATTTTTGCAATGTATATCAACAATGATTCTTTTACGCATATAATTACATATATAACGTTATATACGGTTATACTTTTTCAAGATTTTTATAAAATTTTAAACAATTATAATAAATTATCCCGGCTGATTGTGTGATGCATGTTACAAATGAACTTAATAATAATTTTACTAAAAAGAACCAAAGTTTTAACAAGAGATAAAGAAGAACGCAGTCTGTCATTTATAAGATGCATAGGAATGAATATAGACATCACAATTTTAACTTTAGGCAACTTTCCTTCATGTAAAATCACCATTCAACATACAGAATAACATCAGTAAACTGAATGCTATCACCATCGATAATCATTTCTGGCACGTGTTTCACATGAAAAACAAAGCCATGACTCTGCAATTAATTATTTTTTTTTTCAGTTCCTTCATCTTAATCGTAACTGTGTGAAAGTATTCAATTCCTGAAATATGTTCAAATCTATTCAAATCAACACTTGTTACACTCTATTAACTAGATCTTCACCTCTCTCTCTTTCTCTCTCTCTCTCTCTCTCTCTCTGTCTCTCTTTCAGAAAGCATGTTAAATGTTAAACTGTTGCATTTTTATTGCACTTTATAGATTTTTAAAAATGTCCAATCCACGAAGTTGACATTAATCTCCTTTTAACTTTTATGTATAATATTGCATACTTATCATTATTCTATATGGTATGCATTAGAAAGCTTTCATAATCAACGATATGATTTTGTAGTATTTTCTAAAAAAAAGTGCTCAATAATAAAGAATGTGACAAATGATTACAGTCTTAGTTACGACTGATAAAATTATTTCTTGCATTTATATGAAATGCCTCCGATACTCAAGATCAAATTATTGTATTAATTAATATTATGCGTTATCTAAATTTAATTATTCATTAATTGAATCTCCCTTAGATTGTAAATAGATCCGAGGATAAATTGTCTTCCAAACGGCGCACACGGTACAAATGGTACGAAATGTTTATTGTAAAATATTTGTGTGTAAAAATTGAATTCAAATGGCGAATATTGTAATACTTAAACGATTTGTTCAAGTTATTTATTTGGATTAATACAGTACTAATTAGATGTAAACGATGATTGCTACGAAGGAATACTTGTGTACAAATGCAATGATACTTAAGAGAAATAAAGTTTATGATTCTGGTATTATATGTAATATAACGATCATAAATTGATAAGACGTTATTCGCGATCATTTTTCAGTTCTTTTATAGTATCTGAACATTTGTTAATTTTTGCTAGTATATAATATCATATCCGAATATTTTAATGATTTTTTATTTGCAGTAATATTTGTGAGTGCCTCTTTCCGTTTATCCTCTGTTATTTTGTGAGCACTTAAATTATTCCGTCTATATTGGCATTATTTCTTTGTATTCCTTTGTATAATGTTACGTTCTAAGTTAGTGCATAAGAATTAGTGTGGTATTTTTTTCTAGGTGATGGACCAACTAAAATGCGAAAATCAGAGGCTAAAAGATGAAAATGGTGCCTTGATCAGAGTAATCAGCAAATTGTCCAAATAAATCTTGTAGTCTCAACTGTACATCATAATGAAATTTTCAGTTGTATTACAACTATGTTGAATGAATTGCTTTAATTATAGCAGCATCATTATTATCGCTAATATTCTTACAAATGTGCGTCATATTTGCTATCGATGAATTTATCTTTGTAATAATTTAACTTATTCCAATTATGAAATCGATTAATCGCATGGCTGTGCCAAAGGCGAAAAGAAACGTTACTCCTATTCTTAGACTGTGAATACTTGATTGTAAAAGACTTAGAGGAATTTTACTTTGTGGAATTACTTTTTAATGTTGTAGAAGGGTAAATTTTATAATCCATTATATAAAACCAATTCGATCAATGCTTTATAGTAAAAAAAATAAGAAAAAGTCAGATTTATTTTATTCGACTACTAGGAAGAGCAAAAGAACTGTTAATCTTTGCGAACAGTTTTCTTTTTTAATAAATCACGTTATCGATGTTGATTCTTTATAAGGACATTTTGTAAATACAGACAAATAGACAATGGATGTGGCATTTTAGTAATTGGAGAAGGGAATTTTTATTCGAGGAGAAAATTTTTATTGAAACATTCTGACTACATACAAACAAATTCATATATGTCGTAAACGAATTCGTTTGCACTACCGAAGCAATAAGCTATTTATCTATTACCTTTGACTAAATTATGCAGGTATTAAAAATGAAATTAAAGAACATGACTTTGCTACTCAAGTGGCCTTTCTCTGAAGACTGCAATTTGTAAATCCTTCCATCATTGCCATTTTTGCAGTATAGGCGGAAATTTGATGCATATATGCGGGAGTAAATGTTTTTAATTACTCTGTAATATAATGCAATTTTCTTATATGATATCACAGATATATAAAATATACTTTAGATACATCGAGATTTTTAATCTCTTTTAAAGTGCTAAAATTATGTATGTTTAGAGCTGTGGGTATAACTTCAGTTCGAATCTGTATGATGTAGAATCTGTGTTATTATTTTTAACTACTTGTCCAATATAAAATGCTGTTACCTATTATTTTCTTATGGCAACATCAATTATGATTGTTCAAGACGTTCTGGATAAAGACGAATTTATTAATATTGGAATAGAATGCGTAATTGACAGTTGGCATGTTTTTTAATGATATTACTGTAAACAATTGTAAAAAAGAATGACTCAATGTAGTTATTTCGTAATGAAGTTTATTAGAAAATAATATTTGTGTAAATATTTAATACATAGGTTTATTACATAGACCTTATTTTTATTATTTTATCAGTTTAAGTTGCATTGCGATGATAAAATCATCTTCATCTTTATTTTTATTTATGTATCATATACATTTTTATACTAAAATCATTATATAATATAATAATATAGTGTGAAATTAATTTATTAGCAGTACTATATATAATAAAAGGTAAGTAATTCATAAAACTGCTTTTACACTCGAATGTTTTATTTACTCAAATTATTGTCTTATTTACAGTATATTATAATATTATTAATTCATTATTCTTGCAATTTTCATATATTACGATTTCAGTAATCTTTCCATAATTTTTGCTACAACAGCAAAATCTGCACGCTTTTCTGTAACCTTTGCCATTTCTCCCATTAATACATTAAATAATTTTTTCTTGCCGTTTTTATATCCTGATACAAGTTTTGGATTTTTCTCTATAATTTCTAGACATATTTGTTCTAATTGTTTTTCGTCTGATATCAGGAACCAATTACGTTCTTTAACGATCTATAACAAAAATAATGATACGTAAATTATAAAAAGATAATCCAAATATTGTGTGCACATTTGTTTAATAAAAAAAGATGAAATTATTACCTCTCTTGGTAGCTTATTTGAATCGATTATTAATTCGTTCAAAATCTTCTTTGCCGTTACTAAATTGATTAATTTATCTTGTAATAGATCGACCACTTGACCAATAAAATCTTCATGTAATATACTGGAAATTCATTCAAATGAACATTTTCAATTCAGATAATTTATTTAAATAAAAAGAAATATATTACCAAAATTCAATTGTTAATTGCTGTTTATAAATAAAAGTCAACACTTCCATAACAAGAAATTTGGCGACCAGTTGCGGTTGGCGGTTTTTATCTTTTCTTATAATTCCATTAAATAATTGTAATAACATGAAATCACTCTTAAAAAATATGAAATATTAAAAACAACTTTTGTATTTGTCTAATTAAGAAACATTATGAAACTTACCATCAGAGATACAATTATTTCAGGAGATATTTTGACATCATTTAATCTCTGACGTATTTGTTCCGGTAACTCGGGTAATTGTCTTCTCAGCATTACGGCATCGACTAAATTATTTTTATTTGGTAAATCTTCTCTAATATGTATGCGTAAGGGTGGTAAGTTCGTTTCAGGCATAAACCTGTAATCCTAACAAAGTACTCTTCATAATGAATTTAATAATTTGTTAAAAGCAATGATAAAATCGAAATATTGCATTACTTCTTTATCTTCTTTTTCTCGCATAGGAATAGTTTTCTTGTTTATTGCATCCCACGCGCGAGTCTCATTGAATATTTCGTTACCGGCTTCGAGAATAGAAATATGTCTATTTATTTCATATTTAATAGCCGCAGCGATAGCACGCACACTTCCGATATTTTTTATTTCCGTCCGAGTGCCCAAACAATCTTGGGCACTACTTACAGAAACATTAGCATCCACACGAAGTGCTCCTTCTATATTTTAAATACAGTAAAATGTAATATATCGAAATACGAAAATAAAATAATTAAAAAAATAAAATAATTTCTACAAGTGACCTTCCATTTTACTACTACAAACACCCAATAATTGTAATGTAAATGCAAGCTCCTTCACAAGTGCAGCCGCTTCCTCGCCATCAACCAAATCTGGCTCAAATACAAATTCCATCAGGGGTATCCCGGCACGATTAAGATCAATCAAGCTTCTATAAAAATATTAAAAGATCAACTGGATTAGTCTCAATTTTTCAGATAGAACCAATCAGCTTGATCAATAATACCTTGTTGCAGCTTCATCGTGCAAACTTTTACCACTGTCTTGCTCCAATTGAATCTGCTTGATTTTAGAAGATTTCAAATATGGAAATTTGTGCAATCCTGGAGTAAATACGTGAAACTTAATTTCACCGTTGATGGCGATAGGTTGTAGTTGTTGAGTAATTTGAAATCCTGCCTAAGTAATTTGTAACTGATGAAGACTAATAGTAATGTAAAATATATAAAGGTTTGTAATAACTATGTCACTCACAGGCAAATCTGGATAAAAATAATGTTTCCTCTCAAACAAAGAAATCTCATTTAATTGGCAGGATAGCGCCAAAGCAGTTACTACTGCTGATTCTACACATCTTCTGTTCAGTACCTGCAATGTATTCGAATCTACAATAATTAATATATATTATAATTAATTTATATCAGTATTCTCTAGAATTTATAGTCTTACTTAGAGACTGATATATGTTGACATTCATGCTTATTGCCTTGCTACTTTGTAATTGTCTCTTCATAGCATGTAACAATTGATCTTAGGAATAAGACTAATTTGAAATTGTTATGAGTTTTTGACATATGTTGACGATATATATTAATTTAGAACATATAATATACATTTATATATTTTTAATAATTATAAAATATAATTAAGAATATTTTATAATAATAATAATATTTTAACAACATTAAACACATGTGTCAAAAATTTTTAACAATCTTGGATTAACTTCATCTCTGAGATCTTTATCATCATAAGCTATGAAAAAGTAGGACTTCTCACAAAGTAAGTAGTATAGAAGAAATAAGAGATTAATATCAATACATGTCAGTTCCATTCCCAAAGTACAAATCCTAAACAACGTTGAGTTATATAATCGATTATTTTCATAGATTTGAAAGAGCATCTTCAATCTACAGCCAATTGTTAATGGCTACATTCCATTTGTCACATGATGCGCATGATGTATTGTTTATCCTTATTAACTACATATTAAACAAGGATAAATGATGCATTATGTGCATTATGCAAAAAACGGAACGCACTTAATAACTTACAGGCAATGTTCCTGGTGTGGCACAATCGAAGAACGAGACGCACGAGTTAGCCGGGTTGGCAAAATTGGTTGATGCGCTGGAAAATAATTTCGATTCCGTAGCAATCTGAGCATGAATCTCCAATCCCACGGTAGATTTCCATCTTTCCCTGATCATCAGAAAGAAGCAATGCAATTAATAACAGACTATGACATTCCTTACCAAAGCATGATGAATATTTAACAAAGTAATGCATAATTGTTTTATGTTTCGTTTCACAAACAGGAACATTGCCTGTAAGTTATTAAGTGACAAGAATTGTTAAAAATGTTTACATTTACAAATACGTCAATACTAATTATAACCTCACCGCATTTTGGGATCTTGTTGAACCTTCGATGAGAGGAATCGTCGTGGAAAATCATCAATTCGAATTCGTTTGTGTGCGAGAATGAGATATAGCTGTCTCTTTGGCAGCATTTTTCATTGATGTTTAAAGTTCAGAAAAAAGCTGCATACTCCACACTTCTCGTGAGAGAAAGCAGCTGTTCAGAATTGCCAATCGTTACAGAAGAAAATTTTATACAGCATGGGAGCTAGCTCTCGGTCATTGAACCACTATTTTGAATTCAGAATCGTATGTTCAATAAATCTTTTTATTTAGAAATCCATTCGATGTAGCATAGAGGAAAAAAAATAAAACGATCACATACAACAATACTTTAAACAACTTATGTTTATTTGTGAATGTAGAAAATCTGTCTACAGACGTACAAAATTTGTTGTGCACAATACGAATTATGGTTTTTAACAATTAGAATAGAAACAATCGTTCTATTATTCATTGATTGTTGCTTCAACGCTTTATGACCTATACAAAACGTCATTTCGTTGATATTGCTGCCACATCATTCTTCCAATTACTTAGAATGCTGTTAAACAGCCATCATAGTATGGACATTGTTGTCACTGTTGCGCGGAGTCTATCCAAAGAAATTCACGAAGATAAGAAAATGTGATTTCTTAGAGATCGTTTTGCATAAAATAAGGAGATCATAAAGAATGAGGCCGTTGGCGAATGTTGAGATTTAATCGATGGCATCATCTTTGGATACACTAAATGGCTCCGTTATGGTCTCCGTGCCACTATCAGCGATGACTACGTCCTTCTGTGGTTTATCTCGCGAATCGGTGCTCGTTTGCTCAATTTTACGCACAATGTCCTGCAACAAAAGAAAAATCATGTAATAATAATGACAATAATAGTGAAGAAAAAAGAATACAAATAAATTATAAAATTCTTAAGACTTACATTGATAAATGAAATAAATACCAATAAGAGCTAATAATATATTTTCTTATGAATTTAATCATCTTTTCAGTTTTGTAAATGTGTTCAATTTTGAAACATAGCTTCAAGTAATGAAATTATTAAATTGATACTAATAAGTATCTTAAAAATCTGTAATATTTGTTGCAAAAAATATTTTTTGAGAGCTCAAAAAATGTATCAATATATCAATTTTAGCTTGGTATCAATGTATCAATTTTTGTTTCAAGATCAAACGTCAATATATAAATTCAGTTTTGCAAAACTGAAAATGTATTAAATTTTAAATTTAAAAAATGTTATATTGCTGACTTTTATTGATGTTTATTTTTTTTTTTAATAAGATTATATGTCTTGCACAACTGTGATTGTCTTGCTTATAAACAGGTTTTTAAAATAAAGCTTTTTTACCATTCCTTTGATGATTTTGCCAAAAACGACGTGTCTGCCATCAAGCCATGGCGTTTGTTTAACTGTGATGAAGAATTGAGATCCATTGGTATCTTTGCCAGCATTAGCCATGGACAGCCATCCAGCACCATAATGTTTCAACTTGAAATTCTCATCTGCAAAGCGATCTCCATAAATGCTGCGACCTAAACAAATCAAGAACCAATAATTAAGATCGGATATATGTCTGTGATATGCTGTGATTAGAAATGAAGACATTCGAACCTCCAGTGCCATCACCCTTTGTGAAGTCTCCTCCTTGGATCATGAAGTCTTTGATCACTCTGTGGAATTTGCTGCCTTTATATCCTTCGCCCTCAGGCATCTTGGCCAACTCTACGAAATTTTTAACCGTCTTCGGAACAGTTTTGCCGAACAAGCCGATCTCTATTCTACCTGCATCGACACCGCCGATCTTGATATCGAACCATACCTACAAATTTAATTATTTATTAATTAAGTGAACATCCTCGTCGACTCGCAGACAAAGGCACCGCTAGACAAAGGCATTGTTCTCTCGTAAGTGACGCACAAATCCCATGCAACAGAAATATCTCGCGCCGGTGATAAAACAAAGTGCCACGTATTCATGGCTTATCGTATTATCGGTCCCTGTCTCGCGAAATCGTTCTTTCGCGGAATCGCGTGTTGTACCTTGTCAGTGACTTTCGGCCCATTGGCGACGTTATTTGCACAGGAAACGACGGCCACCAGGCCCAGTAACAATAAAAGCCTCATGATGCTCCAGACGCGAACAAAGATATCGCTACACTGCTGCGATCCCGCGGTGTTTGTCTATCAGAGTGTCAGAGTGGACCGCTACCGGATGCAACTCGAATACGCGTGTGCACGCTTAGAAATGTGGGAGCGTTCAATTGGCCCGTTTATCCGATAGTGACGTAGCGAGAGGGTCACCACGAGAGCCCGTGAGCGCGAGGGAACAGAATAGAACGAAATACCGACGAGATACTACTAAAACAATCGAATTTATAGACAAATTTTCATGATATTAATGATTTTCTCTCTATAAAAATGCACTTTTAGCCTAACGATAACTCTAATCTAAGAATAACTTGTGTGAACGAAGTCAAATTGGTCAATTAACTTGTTAATAAATAACTGTAAATTTAATTTAAGATCAAGTGCGAGTCTGAGACACAAATATACGATAAGTTAAACGTTTTATCTTTAATCCTTTTTTTAGCTGAATTTCTTGCATTAGTTTTCTCTTTTTTTTTTTCCTTTAACTGGAAAGAAAAAGAAGAATGAACTGTGCAAGAAGTTTAGCTAAAAAATACTTTTAAACAATCTTTTTTTATTGACAATTTATTAAAAGCTATCAACCAAAGGGAATTTTAAGAGAATGGTTGAAATCAGTATTAAGAATTTTATTGTATATACAGCAAGTCTAAAGAATATATTTTTCAAAATGAAAAAGTACATTTTTTTGTACCATTTCTATTCTTTTCAAATCGAAGAATGCGACTTATTTTCCTTTATCTAATTCTTATCTATTCAAGGAATGTACATACAATCTACTTTCCTTATCAATTCAAATTCTGAGAAACAATTGGCGAGCGCTTTAAATTTTCGTGTTTTTTTTTTTTATCAAAACGAAGTGTTTTTTCTTCTTTTTTTTTTTTTGAAGTCAAAACACAATAATTTATAATATGCTACTATACGTTTATCTAAAATTTTGTCAAATTTCTTGTGAAATGTTTAAACGGATAATATTTTTATATAATAGGAGAGAAGATTGTAGAATTCAGAATTTATTCAGAGCAAATAGCGAAAGACATAGACTTCAATAAATGGTGTTACGCCACTGATAAACACAGAGTGTGTTGCGAAACTGTGTTCTAACTCGCGCAAAAGTTCACAGGTGTTATAAAGTACGTTTACTCGTAAATAGGTTACGTACATTTACGTATATTTAAATACTATATCTTATCGAGAAAGGATGTATTCCTTTCATCATAATGCATTTCTTTGATGGATTAAAAATTAACTAAATCATCTGTCTCTAATAAATCTG